CATCAACAACTCTGACTCGTTTCGGTACACAATCGTGATGCGACCAATCCAGCCCACAGCCACGCATGTCTGATGGTGACAGGACAATTTGTAACATTCAGGGCATATCAGGCCTCGTCCAAATCACACAGTTTATAGTGTGATTTCGGGTTTAAACATAGGTGTGTTTGCCATTGCAATCGAAGAGATTACTTATTTTAGATGCAAGTAGTACTTGAGACAATCAATAATTTTAGAAAAAGTATATTTATCAATGGATAACTGGAATACTCAGCCATCACTTCTTGAACCACCTTGAGCGACCTTGAGTGTCCAAGTTCTTGTCTTTCATGAAAGATAAAGAACCAGACCTGGTCGGCTTTCCATCTCGAAGACTACGGACGTGATACCTTTTGTTGCAGACGCGTTTGTCCTCCTTTCTAAGGCTGATGGATCAATTCGCTTGTTCCGAGTCTTGTTGTGGTAATGCAAGCTGTGCTCTATCTTGAGACTGTGAGGAGGGCGATGAACTGTCGTCAGGGTAAGGCAAGTTCGTTCTGGTTGTTTGTTGTCTGTTAACATGGTTCAAACATTCGATCGCAGGAAATGCGATCAAATCAGTTTTGGCCCGAAAGATGCTCCGGAATATGCGGCAGGTTCTATCAGACGAGGTGACATTTCGGCGCCTTGCCGGGCAGGCAGATGCGCCCGGAGTACAGAAGGTGAGGACAAAGGCTGTAAAGACGAGCATGTTTTGATCACCGCCTTGGAGTCCAAACAGGCTGATGTGCAAAAAGGCCTAAGTTCAACTTGACCACAGGGTCTTGTCGACGTGTCGGCGAAGCGATGTCAAATGTGGTGAACATGTGCAACTTAGCAACTCGAAAGATTGACAAGATTCAACGGCACAAAAGCATCTTGTGGCTGTGGTTGACGAGGCAGAGTTCCAAAACCATCCTTTAGCCTTGCCTAGTTTAGGTCAATTGAAAGTGTGTAAAACATATTCTTCCGCCACTTTCATCACAAGACGACTGTGAATTCATCTCGATCAGCTCTCGAGTGACTTTAGTAAAACGTTCTCGCTAACGCTGAGG